ACAGACAGACAGACAGACAGACAGACAGACAGACAGACAGACAGACAGACAGACACACGCAGACTTCTTCTTCTTCTTCTATCCCGTGGTGAAAATCAGCTCTCGACATCTACTTTTGTCCTCTGCTTTCCTCAGATTGCCACCCATCGTCTTTCCTGTCCACTGTTTAATGTTGGACACGCAGACACACACAGACAAAATTTGGTAGTTAATATACGCTTACCTCCAGATTTTTCTGCCATGGCGGCGGTTTTGTTCTCTTCGGGGGCAGGTGGTTCTCCAGATTGTGCCGTCGCGTTGGCTCATGCTCCAGCTGTTGTACCCGGTCACAGCTAGGACACAGCAAGGGCATACTATTACTTAGTGAGAGGTTAGGTGAGACGAGATGAGATGAGACGAGATGGGATGGGGGGACATAACATCACTAAGTGAGAGGTGATGTGAGATGAGATTAGATGAGATTAGATTAGATGAGATGACATGAGATGAGATTTGACGAGATGGGATGACATAACATTACTTAGTGAGAGATGAGAAGAGGTGAGGTGAGATGAGTTGAGATGAGATGAGTTGAGAAGAGAAGGGATGATATACCATCATTTAGAGAGAGATGAGATGAGATGGGATGAGATGAGATGGGATGATATACCATCATTTAGTGAGAGATGAGATGAGATGAGATTAGATTTGATGGGATGGGATGACATAACATTACTTAGTGAGAGATGAGGTGAGAGGAGATGAGATGAGATTAGATGAGATGGGATGGGATGACATAACATCACTTAGGGAGAGATGAGATTAGATGAGAGTAGATGAGATTATTTGTTTTAGTAAGGCTTTACGGCGCTTGCAACTGCATCAGGTCATATGAGCACCAAGGGGTGGATGTCAACAGAGAAGTTCAAACAAGGAATTAGGCTTACTCTGCTCACCTCTCTAACCTCAACAGCACAATGTCGGCTTCCACTATCAAGGCACCCCGGAAATAGCAGTTCACAAGAAAGTGACAAACATACAAAAGAAGTAGAGGGAAAATGACGATAGTAAGGAAGAGGAAAGAAAAATCAGCAGTTCCCCCTATGTTGTTACGGCAAAGTATGAGCATAACATTGATAAATCAGCCCATTTACAATTCTACTCGTACCGTGCATAAGAACATGTTAATATCCCCCCTTTGGGAATGGCCTAAAGACAACTTCAGCCAGTAGCACTGCCCTATTGGGGGACTGAGATGAGATGAAAGAGATGAGGTAAGGTGAGGTGAGGTAAGGCGGGGTGAGCGGAGGCAGGGTGAGGTGAGGAGAGATGAGGTGAGAGTGGGGCGAGGTGAGGTGAGGTGATGTGTAGATTAGGTGAGTTGAGGTGAAGGTGAAGGTGAAGGTGAGGGTGAGGGTGGGGTGAGGTGAGGTGAGGTGAGGTGAGGGTGAGGGTGAGGGTGAGGGGAGGGTGGGGTGAGGTGAGGTGAAGGTGAGGGTGACGGTGTGGGTGGGGTGAGGAGAGGTAAAGGTAAGGGTGAAATAAAGTGAGATGAGATGAGATGAGGTGAGATGAGATGACAAGATGAGGTGATGTGAGGTGAGGTGAGGTGAGGTGAGATAATAAGTACTTTAGGAACCCTTCATAGGAAAAAATGAACAGCGTGTTTACAGCAGTCCCCGTGACACAAAATTGGAACATATCGAAAATATTTACTGACAAAAAACTACGAATTCTCTTTAAAACACATAAATGCACACACATACTGGCAGATATATACAAAAACACACAAACATACACTCACACAAATGCACACACACACACAGAGGCACACACACACACACACACACACACACACACACACACACACACACACACACACACACACAGGCACACACATACACATATACACACAAATACACACATTTACACACATACACAGAGAGAGAGAGAGATAGAGAGAGAGAGGGGGGGGGAGAGAGAGAGAGAGAGAGAGAGAGAGAGAGAGAGAGAGAGAGAGAGAGAGAGAGAGAGAGTGGATCGAAACAGCCGGCTCTCAATAACAGATCTGAATTTTGTCGATAGGGACATGAACTATTAAAACAAAAACATTACATTACATTAAATTAACAATAATTTCCAGACTTTCCTGGTAATTATGTTAAAATTTGAAAGCGACTGCTTTCAATATCCCACCCAGCCAGGCCATCAAACTTGCTAGAGACAGGAAGCTATTTCTCCCTTCGACGCCTTAGAGGTACAAGAGGTCGGATAAATTAAAGTACTGAAATTTCAAAGAGATGTTCGCACAAGAAGTATTCTAAAAAGTGAAGAATACAACCCCTGAAGTACAAAATGACCCCAAGCGTACGGATAGGGTGAAGGCACTCACTCTGTCCGCCCGAGGATGACCGCTGCTGTCTTTGGCCTTGAGATCTTGGAGGCGGGATAACCTGGGCCGTGGCGGGGACTGGCGGAGATCGGGGTGGACCTGGGGGAGAGGAAGACATGGCCGTTAGACTGTGTTCGTTGTAGATGATTTACCTTAGGGGCAGTGGCGGTGGGTGGACCTGGGGGAGAGGAAGACATGGCCGTTAGACTGTGTTCGTTGTAAGGGATTTGCCTTAGGGGCAGTGGCGGTGAGTGGACCAAAATTTGGGTGGGACTTCGGTAGCTTCCTCTTCTTTACCACAAAAAAGCAAGCAATAAGACCTGAACAGTACTGATTTCTCTATAGTCACAGAGAGCAACGGCATTTTGAGAACTATTCAATTGAGAAGAGTCATCTTTGTCTTCCATCTCTTTGTTCCAAGTTAGATTCTTCTGGATGAAATGGTTACCTTAAAAGTGGAATCGACGTGATTTATAACTGCTAAAACTCAGCGGCACAAATATAAACGTGCACACAAAACACTTCAAGCAGACTCCGTCTATGAGCTGGATTAGGCCGTGTAATCACAGAAAGTAGAACGCACATAACAAAGGTTCAATGTGTGTATAGGTAACTGTGTCACAGGGGGGAAAGTGAGTCGTAAACCTTTACACTATTGTCAGGGCTAGAAAAGCGTGAGCCCTCAGTACAGTGTTATTTTTTCAGTCTTCTACCTTTTTACAAGAAGAGTTTCATTGTGGAAGGGGCGAAGGAATGGATTTATCCTTTTCTGAGCCCCAAAGATATTTGATAGGCTTTTAGGTTACTATAATTGTAAGCGGTGACAACAGTGATTGGATAAACCAGCATGCCGCCAAGTTGATCATGCTGTGTTCATTGGGTGCGATCATAACGATTTCAACAGCTTATTTCGTTATTTAAGAAACTTTCATTTATTTTGGGATACAGTTGGAGGGAGGCGGGGGGGGGGGGGGGGGGGTTCAAGCCCGTGAGCCCTTCACTACCCACCGCCACTGCTTATGGGAAGATGATCAGGGAAAGGCAATCAACCAGACCGTTAGAGGTTGTTTAGGGGGCTCTCGTGGCCTAGCGGTTGACTCACTCAATCCCGTGACTGAGATATCTTGGTTAGCTTGCGGGCTGCGTTCAATCCCACGGCCGAGATAACTCGGTTCTTTAGTTTTGTCCCGTAAACTAGTTATTTATTCGTTTCGGAAAAAGCCTCTCAAGTTTTATATAAGGTTAAACGTTTTATTTTCAAAGCCAATTCTGCTTAGAAGGGGGGGGGGGGGGGGGGGGGGGGGCTAGGATTTTGTCTCTACTGTCATTACACAAGGAGAAACCGCAGTTTTTATAGAGGCACTTTCAGCACTTTTGTTCACACTGATCAGCTGAGCATGTCTCGCAATAGATTCTTTCTGCCTTTCTCGCAAATACATTTTTTTTAAAAATTCAACCGTTTTTATTATACATGACAAACGATATACAGATCTAGATACTCACAAGCATATTTGATAATCAATGTAGGCTTGCTCTTGCTCATTCAGCCATGAAAAAAAAATGATAAGCCCCCAAAAATGCCAAATTTGTACAACACCCGAAAGCAAAACTATAAATTCTATATACTTCAAATTTGATATGTCTAAATAACCCTCTTAGGTTGTTGTACTTTGTGCCAAATTTCAAAGCAAATTAATTATATGTATGGTTACTAGTGTGCCCTGACATAAGTACCAACATGGCCGGTTCCTGGGTACAATTTCGGGAAAAACTAAGGTGTTCGCCTCTCATTCAATAGGTACCAGGTTCCAATCCAGGTAGTGACGGAAATTTTTCTTCTCTAAAATTGTCTCCTTTCCGCTCCTTTCCTGATCTCTAGCAATGTTCTGTCATCTGCTTTAGTCTCCACTTTCTGCCCCCACCCCTTCATCTCATATGCCCTGGCTCCTGACTCTTTCTGCAACCTTTCTACAGCTACTCCTTGGCTCCTTCTTACTGCTGTCTTTCAGCCTCACCCTGGATCTTATGGTTGGAAAAATAATATGCTTGTAACCTTCTCGGACAAGGGCAAAAAAACCTCGAAGGTCCCGTGTGCAAGTTGCGCACTTTAAAGATTCCTTGATGGTCCAAAAATCGATAAAAGTAGGCTTTGGCCGCCAATCGGACTAAATTCAAAATTTCCTACCAACTGAAAATATTTAATGTGTTCCATGTGCTCAAATGACCTTATGCAGTTGTGAGTGCAGTAAAACACGTACAAAAAACCCCCCACACAACCAGAGACGATTGTCAATCTGTAAGACATCATGAAGGTTCAGTATACCATACGTTCCTGAGCCAACGACGTTCACAACCATGCAGGAAAGCAGCCAAAGGAAAAGAGGGGAGGGGGGAAAGTAATCGAAAGAAGTAAAGTGCTTCGTCTACGTCAACGTTAGCGAAAATCATAAAAAATCCCTGAAATGCTGAACTCGACACTTATATGACATAATTGTTTTGCAGGTGCTGTAAAAACTTTAATTAAAACGAAGAGTAGAACTCGAAGCCACCGGTCTATTTTGGGCACTTACCAAAACTGCAAACAATAAGTAAAGATATTTATTAAAGTTACCGCAAAATGTTTCTACCCAGCAGAAAGGCGGCTTAAGTCTTTGGTGGTATGATTTATTGCATGAGTACAACACACATTTCAACATAGACAATAAAACGAGCTATCAGCAACCAATATGCATCAAATGGTTTAGGTTTAACGCCCCTATCAACAGTATTGAGTTATTTAAGAGGCAAGCCTCCGAGTTTAACGTCCATCTCCGAAACGACCGAGCCAAATAGGAAATTCGTGAAAAATGTCTTTCCAAAGGACACAACGTCGAGCCAAGCTGAGGCTCGAACCACCGAACCAGCAATCTCACGATTACGAGTCTGGTAGCCTAACCACTAGGCCACCGATGCCACTCCAACAAGAGTGAGCAGAATCTCAAAAAGTAAAAGACTTTAGACACCATTACATGTAACTAGTGGAGCCTTCTGGAGAATGTTCATCCCTTATTAAGACCCCATTTTAAAGAACTATAGTGGAAAAAATTCATCGTAAGTGTTTGTGGTTTGACGCCCCTGTCAACACCAGTGGCTTATTTAAGAGGCAGGACCTCCGCTTTTAACGTCTGTCTCCGATAGGACGGAGTCAAATGGGTTGACAGCCTTGCAGACTAGACAAAACGACCCCCGAGTTAAAGAACGCCCAGTCTGGGGCTCGAACCACGGTCATTCTCTCCGTAGTCAAGCAAGATACCAACTGAGCTAACAGAGCTATTGTTTAAAAAAAGAAGCATACCACATAATAGGCAATGCTTTCATGTTTGTTGTTGTAAGGTTTTACAGCGCTTGCAACTGCTTAAGTCATATGAGCGCCAAAGGATGGATGTCAACAGAGAAGTCCAAACGGGGAATCAGGCTTACTCTGCTCACCTCTCAAGCCTTAACAGCACAAAGTCTGCTTCGACTATCAAGGCACCACGGAAATAGAAGTTCACAAGAGAGTGACAAATATACCCAAAAAAAAGAAGTGGAAAAAATGACGATACAGTAAGGATGAGGAGAGAAAAAGCAGCAGTTCCCCCTATGTTGCTCCGGCACAGTACGAGAACGACATTGATAAATCAGCCCATTTACAATTCTACTGTTCATAAGAACATGTTAATATCTCCCCTTTGGGAATGGTTTAAAGACCACTTCAGTCAGTAACACTGCCCTGGTTGTGGGAGGGGGGGGGGGGTTAATGCTCCATTGTCCAGCTCAAAATAACTAAATGACGTAGCGTGGCTGTTCGTATTAGAAGATGACATTATTTTTTTACTAATATAACAATTCAAGGGGTAGGGGGTGGGGGGTTATAACAACCTTAACAACCTAAGTGAGAGCTTTTTCTGATACAACATCGTTTTACCCCAGGTTTAAACTTGTATTTGCGTGACGATTGATTTCTTACCGCCTGAAAGACCTTCGTTCGATCCGCACGTCCGTAAGGTACTATATTTAGTCATTCTGCCCTTCTACTGGAATGAAGTATCTCACTTAAGTCGTGTTGGCCCCGACTGAGAGGGCCCAAAGAGGAGCGAGCCTCCAGCCTCAACTAAAGATTGGCTTGATTTATTGCTTATCGATCTTTACCAATACAAAGAACGATAGAAAATCTTCTCGGTACAAAACACTATAATGTTCATCAAACGCTTTTATACATTGTAAAATCGGTATGTGAAGGGGGGTAGGGTAGTCCTGGAAGAGCAGGCTGATAGTAGAGCTTGGGGAACGGTTGGGGGGGAAGGGGGTTGAAGAAACGAGGATTTAGTGATATTGCAGATCTCTATAGAATGCTAAAAACCATGTACGTTTCTGCTATACGGTGCAGATGTGTTATCTATATATAGCTATCATATTTGTGAAAGTTCACCCCTTTGGTCGCATAAAACTTCCGAACCACTTAACTTTCGATTTTTAAAAAAACATAACGGTGGTTTAGAATCATTTAAAGGGAGCACCGTTATATCATAGGGGCCTGAAGTCACTGTAGTTTAATTTTCAGTTTTCCATTAGTTTTGTTCCGATCTAATCTTGGGAAAATCTGTCTTCTAAGACGCTATACGTACATACTAAGTATGGCAAGTAACTGTTACAGATAGAGATTCAAGGAGTATAGATGTAAGTCATTGATCTGAGAGTAATGATGATTTTAGAAAAGGTGGTGATGAGAGATGATGTGGGATTGCGTTTAAGTAATGTTAGCGTTTGACCTATCTTCCTCGGCTCCAATGAGTCACGAGGGACGTGGGCACCCTCGATCCCGATCCCTACTGGACCCTCCTAAATGAGTTAATTCTCTCGGCGCTTGGGTGAAATAATCAAAGTTACTCTGCCGAAATTCATAAAGCTTCGAATAGGTGAAAAGACCCAAATATTGAGCGTACATGTTTTTTTCCCCTGAACCTATGAGATGGCTGTAGTTTGCCCACACAGTGGAAGCACCACCGATCTCATTTGAATTGGAATCAGGCGCTCGTCAATTTTGGGGACATATGGAGTTATTTGTACATTCTTAAAGG